GAGGACTGAACCCATGGCCTTTGCACTGAGCCACATCCCCAACCCTTTCTCCATTTTTTATTTTGAGTCAGGGTCTTGCTAAGTTACCCAGGATGTGCTAGGCTTGAACTCTGACATCCTCCTGGCTCAGCCTCCTAGAGATCTGAGATTTTAGGCACCACACCCAACACTGTCCTCAATTTTTAAAAAGTTAATTCACTGCTATTCAGTTAGGTACACAATAAAAATTTTAAGTTCTAGACAGTCTTCCCCTTACCACCCAACAGAACGTCAGATTTCTTCCCTCTAGCATCAAAAGGCATCAGCGAAAGAGAATCAAAGACACATGATCAAAGCCAGGCACAGTGTTAACACACATGCAATCCCAGAAACTCAGGAGGCTGGGGCAGGAAGATCACAAGTTCGAGCCCACCCTAGGCAACTTAGTGAAATTCTCTCTCAAAAAAGGCAGAGGACGTAGCTCAGCATATAGTACTTACCTAGCATGCACATATCTGATTCAACTCTAAGGACTACCAAAAAAGGGCAGGGGGATCTGATTAAGATTTAGGGAAGTGTTCAGGGTAAGGTGAGAAAGAGTTGAATAGAAAAGGTTTGTATTAGAGAATAGTGTCATACTTGAACCCAGGGCCTTTGCACTGAGCTACAGCCCCAGCCCTTTTTGTTGTTTGAGTCAGGGTCTCATTAAGTTGCTAAGTTGCCCCAGCTGGGCTCAAACTTGTGATCCTCCTGTCCCAGCCTCCCAGAGTTCTGGGATTACAGGTGTGTAACGCATCCAGGTGTGTCTGACATATATTTAACACAAAGCAGAATCAGGTCAGTTAGAAAATTGAAGAGCCTGTTATCTTCCAGGCAACGTGTGTTTTACCTCGTATTACTTTTAGTCTCTGTGAGGGAGGTGGCACTACCTCTATACAGATCTACAAGTGAGCTTGGGAGACTAAGTCACTTGCTGAGATGACTTGGCATGTCAGCCTGTGGCTTGGGTCCCTTTGGCTTCAATTTCATCAGGAGGCATAGAGTTCCTAACAGTTGTAAGATAATGCAAGCCATGTGTTGAAATGTTATTTTGTAAATGCATTGTATTTTTAGGGACTGTTTTTTAAACTACAAGATTGCTAAAAGGCAGTAGGCTGTGTGTGTAAACTGGGGATTGAACCCAGGGCTACATACTCAGTCCTTCTTAGGGATACAAGGGTCTAAATAGCCAAGGCTGGGCTTGAATTTTCAGTCCTTGTGCCTCAGCCTCAGACTGCTGAGACTAGGAGCCTGTGCCTTTGTCTTCTCCTTTGACTGTTCCATTTTTTTCTCACTTTCATTTTCTATTCTCTCCTCCTCTCTTGTCCCTTATAGTTTTATTTTTCAATAATAACAAAACAATTTGAATCTTTATTATACTTATCAAAAGATGCTTCCTGGACCGGGGATTTAGCTCAGTGGTTTTGACACCTGCTACGCAAGGGCAAGGACCCGAGTTCAATCCCCGGTACCAAAAAAAAAAAAAAAAGATGTTTCCCTATTTTATTTTTATTACATTTAAATTTTTAGAGTAACTTAAAATGACAGCAGAATGTCTGCATTTCCTTCTCAGGTGCCTTTTAAAAACCTTTAGTTTCTCATAGCTCAGTATCGAACCCCTCCCGCAGTACATCGTAAAGCCACAGCTCCCCTCCTTTCCCTCATTTGGTCTTAAACAAAAATGACACCTGGTGGCAAGTCTGTTCAGTTACAAGCTTCATTTGCAGTTTTATAGACAGGTTTGGCCAGTTTAAGCCCAACAATGTGACTGAAATTAACTATAACTCAACCATGTTTTATGAGATACACCTGAGCATGTTCCAAATACTACTTTCTGTACTTATAAGCAGGATTATTTATCTAGTACTAATTTATCATTGGCATTTCCTCATGAAAGTGACTCTACCAAGACTTAGCAAGGGAAGTCTAGGCATTGGCTTTTGTTTCATTTAGTCTGGATAGTGAAGTTTTTTTGTTGTTAATTATCTTAATTTTCTCCATCCTGTTATCTTTACTGTCTTAGTGTTTTAGTTCATTTTATATGTCTGGCTTACTCTGTTTCCTTACTTGAACTGAAAACCTGAAAGAGTTGGAAATAGGTAGTTTGTGTCTCACAGTCTAGAGGCCTGGAAGGCTAAGGCTAAGGGCACACGTTGATGGGTGTCCAGCTGAGCGCTGAGGCACACACAGCATGGTGTGGAGACAGCACGCCTGCCACTTCTTCAAGAACCCACTAATCCACAGCGGGGTGAATCAACCAGTCACCACCTAAGGCCCCACTTCCAAATGCTGTTAACATTGAATTTTGGGAATTCCATTTCCAGTACGTGCATTCAGGGGGGCGTTCACATCACAGCAGTATTAAATTCATCGGTCTTGTTTCTGATATCCTTCACTAGCATCTTTTTCTTTTTAAATACAGTTTCACACAGTTTATGTGGTATTTTGCATTGTGTAGAATGGGATATAGACTACAGTTAAATCTCCATACTAATGTGATTTATAACTTGAAAAATAACAATTATCTGAGGTTGGTGTGCAGTCAGTCACTTTTTAATCTCCCTAACTCTCAACTCCAGGAGGTAGGTACTGTTATCCTCGTTAGCAGAGGAGGAGGTGAGGCCAGAGCCCAAAAGGACCAGAATGGACCCACAGACATGGACTTAGGTGCCAGGCTGTGTCTAGATTCAGAGATGGCCCACCCTATCAAAGGATTACGGAGTCCTTTCTGTTACATTACTTTTGGATTTAGAAAACTCATAAATATTTGCTTTTTAGACTGTTAGTAATGTTCTATAGTTTAGTCCTATTTTGAAACCAGTACCCTTCAGTTGCATTGTCACCTTGAGATTCTAAAATCACTAATAACATTATCTTTAATCAAGTCCTTTGCAAAAGTTATACTTGATTTTCCATGTTTATTCCAGTGAATAACAATGGTACTAAATCATCTTATTCTGATCCCTAGTTTTGTTTTCTAGGGAAATGCTTTCCCGCTAACATCACTGTGAGCTAGCAACTGCTTATAAATAAGTGTTGATATCAAACTCTTCACCAAGCTTCATTCTTTTAGAATTTTAACCTCTGAATTTGTCATTTAGCTAAGGCTTCATTTACAGACAGGATGTAGGAGCAGCACAGAGAAAAGGCAATTCTCTCAGAGAAGGCGTTAGGAAACTGAAGATTCTGCTCACGATTAAAAGTACTCTTCACAGTTTGATCATTCAAATACAGCTTTGCGGTATCATTTGATTTTAGAAACTTTACCTCTCTTTCCTGCCTAACTTTTGGTAGAAAACTTAAATTTTTTTTTTCTTATCCAATCCTGGGCATCGAACACAAGGCCTTATGAATGTTAGAGAAAAGTTTTTGGGGTTTTTATTTTGGTGGTGCCTGGGGACTGAACCCCAAACCTTATGCATGCTGTGCATGCTAGGTGCTTTACCTAGAATTTGATTCTTGCTTTTAAGATGCCCAGATCCCAACTTAGTAACCATACAAAACTTTCCCATGTAGGATTTTTATAAAGTAAAACTGTACATTGTCTCTCCCTGTCGCTGCCATCTGTCTATACATCAACTCTAGCATTACAGACATTGTGTCATTGGTTGGAGAGCTCTAGAGTTGACACAAGCAGAACTGAAGGACACAGTTTCATCTTCTTCCTGTGAATGTTCCCTGTCTAGGTTGGTGACCAGATTGTTGAAATCAATGGGGAACCTACTCAAGGCATCACACATACTCGAGCAATTGAGCTCATTCAGGCTGGTGGGAATAAAGTTCTTCTTCTTTTGAGGCCAGGAACTGGCCTGATACCTGACCATGGTAAGTAAAGTTGCTAAAAATCTACTGGTAGCTAAAAGGTTGTGTGTTAGGGAGGGGGCAGCAGAAGAAAAGGATTATCTGTTTGGATATTTTACTAGCTAATTCAGACACGAACACCAGAATCATCAAAAGCACTGACTTCCATTTGCTGGAAAAAAAAAAAAAAAAATATATATATATATATATATATAATTTTTTTTTTTGTACCAGGGATCAAACTCGGGACCTTGCACTCGCAAGGCAGGCGGTGGAACCACTGAGCTAAATCCCCTATTTTGATTTCATCAGAAAGCATAAAGTGCTTTTGTAGTGAAGTGTACCTGTACGGAATAAGAACATTAAAGGCAAACAATTTAAATGAAAAACATCAAAAATGACTTAAATATTCCAGTTTCCTCCCATTCTTGGTTAATTACATATTACCAACAAATGTGACTTATTTCCTTACAGTAAGATGTTTATCTCTTAACGAGCAAACACCCCAAGAACGTTCTGCTTTTCTGGTCACTTGTCAAAACCAAGTTGCCTCCCTAGAGATACAGAGCTGGACCTGAGACCATGTCTGTGCTCCTGGACTGGTCTTAAACTCCCTTGGTTTCACTGTATGTTTTGGGACTTTCACCGAGCTTGGAAATCACTGTTGTTTGAATCCATCAGCCTAAGAGTAAAGGCAGAACCACACCTACTTAACCCTGTCTCCTCTGGTGTCCTCACCCCCGTCACAGATCTTCTGTAGGATAAGCGTAGATATCACCTCCTACAGTCCCCCTGCAGCTTATGATTCTGACTGTATAATCTTCCACCATCTGCTTGTAAATCATACATTCCCAGTGACATCTTTGCTAACTGCGCTGATTTTTTTCATATAGTCCTAGGCTTTTTCTCTTCCTTCTTCAGGTTTGGCTCCTTCCGGTCTGTGCTCCTACGTGAAACCTGAGCAACATTAAGGCTTTCAGGGCTTTTCTTGGTCTTTCCTTAAAAAGACTTGGTAAATTTGCATGTCTTATGAATCACTTCCTTCTTTTGTTTTCTTTTTAATTAAAAAATGATGCTATTAAATACATCCATTTCTATCTTCTGCACTCTTCAGTCTCCTTTTGACATTAAATTTGATAGCTTTATGCAAGAAATTTATTTACAAATGCCCATGAACCTCATTCTGGTTACCACAGTTTCATCTCCTTTATTAGTGACTTTGATACATCCATTGATCATACCTTAATTAGCCTCATGGACCAGGTAATTTGGTCCAGTTTTATTATTTATTTCTTATATGCTTCTGATTGGGCTTTACTAATAAAGAACTTACAGATTACATATTATCTCACTAATTATACATAATTATAAAATTGAAGCATCATGTACCAAAATGTCTACCCTTCAAGTACAGATGTCTATAAACATCTGCCTTTACAGAGATATGTAAACATGTATAAACTGTGAAGATACTCAGACTTAGGCTGTTTAAGCAATCAGTACAATTCAAATAGCTGTCAAAGTTCAAAACTATGGTTCCTATTATGTAATAATGTTCCACTCAAATCACTTTTTTAGGTGATTGGGATATTAATAATCCTTCATCTTCCAATGTGATTTATGATGAACAGTCACCATTTCCCCCATCTTCACATTCTGCTTCCATATTTGAAGAGTCTCATGTGCCAGTAATTGAAGATTCTCTAATGAGAGTTCAGATATGTGAAAAGGCAGAAGAATTAAAGGACACTGTACCTGAAAAGAAAAGCACTTTAAATGAAAATCAGCCTGAGATAAAGCATCACTCTCTTCTTCAGACAAATGTGAATAAGAGGGATCCACCCAACAGTCATGGGCACAGGCACAGTGACAAGAAAAGTCTACTAAGAGTAGAAAATGGTGTTACACAGAGAGGTAGATCTGCTAGTCCCAAAAAGTCAGCTCACCGCTATTCAGAGGAACATTTGGAAAAGATTCCCAGTCCTCTAAAAAATGACCCCAAAAGAAGACCCAGAGATAGATCACTGAGTCCTCGGAAAAGGTGTCAGATCGACACCAGGGCAGGTTCTGGACAAGATCATTGCAGAACCAGCCCAAAGCAGCAGCAAAAAACTGAAGGAAGCAAAGACTTGTCAAATGCTGAAGCCAAATTACTGGACAGTGAGAGTCGCAGAGTAGCAGGCTGTGCTAGTGACAATGCTGAACAGCTCCCAGATGGGAAAGAAAAATCAGGTGCGATCAGTAAAGATCTGAAGCAGAGTCAGTCAGGAAAAGATAGAACAAGGTCTCCAGAGAAAAAAAGCAAGAGAATGGATGAAAAATCTGTTGCCTCCAAAAAGACTAGCAACACTGCTAGTAGAGAAGTGTCTGAAAATGAAAAAAGAAAGAAAGCAACCACAGGAGAAACACGTCCTGGTAAAGATAAAATAGGAGAAAATGTCCAAATATCAGAAAAGAAGCTGAAACAGGAACCTGAAGAGAGGATAGTGTTAAATAAAGTAGAAGATCACAAAGGGAAAGAACTACAGACAACTGACAAATGCAAAGAGAGTGGAAGGTTCAAACCTGAAAGTAGCTCTCCAGTTAAAAAAACACCAATAACTCCAGGGCCCTGGAAGGTGCCGAGTGCAAATAAAGTCACAGGCATGACTGGCATGGCCAAGAAACGGTTGTGACCTTCAGCATAAAACAAAGAAAAACAAGTTGTAATCTTTTCTTACTAAAAGCATTTTTCCAGAAAATCATTTTTTTTCAGAAATTCTGAAACACCTAAGAACCTTTTAATTTGCACATCAAGTTTCAAGGCTGCATGAAGGGCCTTTAGGATTGCTAAGAACCAACCATCCCTGGCTAGCTGCCCTCCCTCTCGCTAAGGAAGGAGCTGCGTCCCCACGCTCACCTGCCCGCTCATCTACATGGGTGTCTGACAAGTGACATGTTGATACTAACAGTGTGGTCACAACTCACTTTGTATTTGTGCCAAGTTATCTACTGTATAATGTCTGTTTTATCCTTCTCATTCAGTTATTTCCACAATAATGAAACCAGTTTGGCTTGGAAGTTGGTGTTCTCAATAGCATGTTGCATGTTTACAGAGAGAAATATTTGAGTCCTTGCACAAGAGATTGTTAGCTTATCATTCAAACTAACAGCTTCTGATGGAGTCCTAGTTTAAAAGTAAAACTCCCAAGCATCGTTAATTTAAAGCAAAAGGTCAAATAGTTATGCTTTCTTACAGCTTTTTTATTTTAATTTGGCTGGATAAGGTGTTTCAACTAACTGTTACAGATATTACAACTGAATGTTGAAAATGAGAAAGTCCTCTAAGCAGCAGAGTTCACGTCCCAGCTGTGTTACCCAGTTACCGAATCTCGGGTCACCCTTTCTCATTATGAAACCACAAAGAAGCATGCTTACTGTCCTTCAGAGAGAAGTTGCCAATTATCTATTTCTGGATATTTGGATTATATCTACCACTAAAATCATCAGTCTTTAATAGAAAATACATATTTGAAGAGTCAGATTATATAGACTGTGAGGGACTTAATCATGAAACCATTTCCCAGTCCATTGCCAGACACAGTAGCAACTCACATGGCAGGTGCACAAGCCCAGGTGCATAGAGCAGAACCCGGGTGGGGCCTACCCGGCACGTCAGGACAAACATGGTAGACAGTACAATGCTGGATCTTTACCTTTTAGTTACACTGACTTTCTTACTGAAAAACAGATTAAACATCTGCTTAGCTTGTACACAGTTCTCTTAAAAGTCTAAAGATGTGTGCTGAAAGGTAGCTTTTAACTCCATAAAATATGTCCAGGTTTTACAAATCCCTGAAGCAGCATTCAGTAGCATCTATAAAGGCATACTTGCAGTGTAAAAAATATTTTATGGAGTATTTAACACATTTGTTCTGTCGCCCTGAGTTCATCTTGTGGAACACACTATGTCCAGGTCCACCCTTCTGCAAATCTGACTGTGAGACGCATAGAACAGCTGTATCAGCCCTGTAGATAGCACACGCTTCCCAGAGTGAGACTTTTACAATCCTCTTTCATCCAGGACTTATTTACCCACCTACTGTAATTACTTGAATAGAGAAAAATTAGGCTTAACTGCTAATAATTTAGTAACACAGAAATGATTTATTTTCCCTATAGTCCACAATTAGTGATACAAATCCTATTTTTATCGTTGACTGTGGCATAACTTTGATGTCATATGTTGTCTGATGTGGCTCTTCCCTAAGCACCCTGTCACTGTACTGATTATATACTGACTTAGCAATGTGGCCTTGGAATGCTGAGCAAAAACATGGATGTACTGGTTGTAAATGTTTATATATGTACAGTACGTTTATATATACACTTGAGGTTCTGATTAGAGAAAGATCTGTAAATTGCTCGTTATTTTTTATATAGATATTAAAAACAAAAAACAATGCTCATGATCTCCATTTCTGTGACTTTTAGCTTTGCTTATGTTGCTTTCTACTTGTGAAGCTAGTTCTCAAGATTTTGTCCAAGTAACATTCAAAGTCCTACATTCAGAAAGATTCTTACAATCTTTACAGCTAGATTATACATATAAGAGATTTGAGTTAAATATATTTTTCACCTTTCATTGTAAAGAAAATAATTTTGCTTAATTTGCTACTAAAAAACCTTTCTTAAACTATTAGGGAGAGAAGACAGTTTGTCTTACTATTCACTAACTAGACAGTTGTACTGCTACAGCATAAGTCCCATTACCACAAGGTTGCAGAATTCTGTTTCATCAGACTGTAGCAATCCAGTGTTCTTACAGGTTGTTTTATTTACTTTAAGAATGAAGTGTTTTGACTTGATTCCATTTAACTCTTAACTTACTTCAAGACCCAGATTAATTTAATGCTCTTGAGAAAAATAAATTTCTACCTATCACTGCATGAACTCACACTAAAAATAAAACTCAGTCCCTAGTTCCCAGGCCCCCCAGTGAAGACGTTGCTCTTCCGTAAGCAACCTGTATATAACATGTTGTAGCAAAAGCTGCAGAAAGTACCTGCAAGACAGTCCCCTCTGCCTGATCTCTCAGGCAGATGAGTTTTGGGGATATTATGACATCTCACTAGAAAGACTGGGTGGCTAAGATCAAAAGCACTGTCTTCAAATGTAGTTACATCAATCCTTATGGGATTCATAAGGGTCAACTCTTATTTCAGGAGTTCTGGACCAGAAAAGCACTTGGCTTATTTTCACATGAGAATATCTTGCTATTAAGGACATAGGGCTGGGGATGTTGCTCAGTGGCACGGCGCCTGCCTCGCAAGTGCAAGGTCCCAAGTTCGATCCCCAGTACCAAAAAAAAAAAAAAGGACATAAGTTGTTTTCATGTAAAAGAGTTTCATGTTTAATATGTCCACTGTTCACAGAGTTGGGTTTAAGGAAGCAAGGAGTACTGAGATTAAACTGGAACTGAGCCCACAGTGTGCTCCTGGAACTCAAGAACACTGGTACCAACACAGCCAATCACGAAATGTGACATTCCCGCCCACAGGAGGAACGTATCAGAGCAACTTTTTACATCACCATGGCCCATGCTCCAATGCCTAAAAGCCATCTGTCCTTTTAAAATAGTAATGTTTTTATTTATCAAGGTAACTTTTCTGGTTCTGCTGTTAGGGTTTATCAGCATGGTCTACAATCTTTAGTTGGCTCGATTAGTTTAAGATAACCGTAACTTGGATGTTTTCACTGTTGCAATCCAAGTAGCATTACATATAAGAAGGAAGTGTGAAAGCGTCCCAGGATGGAATTCCAATCGGAAACCCTGAATTGTTCTCACATATACATTAAAATATAGAAACTGAATTGCTCCAAGTTAGCCTTAAACTATGTCAAAGAATCCTGTGGATATGTGTCTACTTTATAACATTTACATTAAAGCAACCTAAACAATTAGCAAATTCACAAATCTGAAGGTTCATTTTTGTCCTTAGTATAAGGACAACCATTTGTTCACTTGGGCAATACCTTATGGCAGCTTATAGGCTGAAGATACTCTGCAGGAAAGGTATAAAATTACTGCACATTTGTGACACTCAAACTTCATTATTCAACATGGCACCAGTAACTGCAAGAAGCAAAAGATTACTTAAAATTACTAGTTAGTACATGTACAAATTAGATTAAATTTAATGAATTTACTTTTTGATTTTCAAAAATGAGTTTCATTAATTTGAAAGTTTATTTTTACAGTGCATAGGTCCACTTACCTCTAAACACTATGTACCAAAAGTAAAAACATAAACCATTAAACTTGTACTTTGTAAGACATCCTTGTATTTAGAATTTTTCTACATGTCCCTGAAAGTCAAGAAAACCATATGCCAATTAGGTCTTTTGTTATGCAACTTTTCAATATATGTGGGCCACAGTCTACATATTTAGGAAATTTGTAGAGCATACTTCCACGGCAATTTTAAGAGGGATAATTTTCCTTAGTACAGCAGCAGATTTTAAAATTAAGTCTAGTTATATTTCTTACACTTTTATGGTTATGAGTATTCCAATTAAATTATGAGTAGCTTAACCTATCTGTTTTCACATCTTGGTTTAATTACTCATCCTTTGCTGGGAATCAAAAGCACAAGTCCCTGGAAGTGCTTGTACAGGGATAAATGAAGCAGTGAGGGTAGGAGAATCCACGAGTGACTGCTCTTCCATCCTAACAAAAAAAGTGCATGAATGGTAACAGACTTGAGGTCTGGTCATCCTGCACACTGCTCAGCGCCATGAAGGAAATCAGCAGATAACTGTGTTACCAGGGAAGGCTCCTTGAAGGAACTAACAGCTAAGCGCTGAGAGAGAGGCACCAGCAAGCAGGTGGAAGTAGCAAGCTTTTGGGGGCCTGACAATGAGAACTCGCTCTACCAGAAGAGTGCAGTGGGAAGGTGAAGAGTGAGAATCCACAGGGTGAGAGAGAGAAAGTTGGAGAGGGAAGCAGAACTGATAAGGGAAGGCTTGGAGGCGATGATGGGAAACCCAAGAAGGGTTGAAATAGGAATGGTGTAAGGATAGCTTCCATATTATAAGATGATCTGTGTGGCTGTGGAGAAGTAACTGTAGTAGGTTGATAACAGAAACAACAGTGGGTCTGCATCAGAGTGCAAGTAACTTAAGGTTAAGTGCAGGAGGCTTAACCTAGTGGCAATGGAAACACAAATGATACTAACATGGCATGGTGCTCGCTTCAGCAGCACATAAGACTAAAGTTTCGTGTGATGGTGCATGCCTGTAATCTCAGCACTCAGGAGACCACCACAAGTTGTAGACCAGCCGGCGCTACACAGACTTTTCTCAAAAAACCAAAAACAAAACAACAAAAACTTTGGAGCCTTTAGCTTGAGTAATTGGGTATAAACTTTTTGTCATTTACTAGGGTAGGGAAAACATTTACTCTCCCACCTTAACTAAAAAGAATGAAAAAACATTTTTAAAGGATATTAGAGGGGGCCGGGGATTTAGGCTCAGTGGTTCTGCCGCCTGCCCCGTAAGCGCAGGGACCTGAGTTTGATCCCCCAGTGCCAAAAAAAAAAAAAAAAAAGGGATATTAGAGGACAATAAGCAGCAAAGGACAGTAGAGCTAAACAGGCAGCTCCAGGACTGCCCCAGATGACTGAGGCAGTTTCTATGCTGTGGTGTAGAAAAGGAAAACTCAACAGAACCAAGCAGTCTACTGAGTTGGAAGGACAGAACTGAGCATTCGGGCCAGGGTGGCTAGAATTGGCAGGACAGAGTACCACAGAAAATCCACTACGCAGAGGAGAGCTGCAGAGACATGCAGAGGGCTCCTTGGAAGCCTCCGCTGACCATGATGGGCACAAGCAAAGGCAGAAATAGCCAAGAACAGGAGGAGGCAGAAAATGGAGTTCACACAGGGCTGGGAATAGCTTATGCTCCCACAGCCAAAGAGGAAAGCCTCAGGAGATAAAGCAGCAGCTACGATACTGTATACAGAAGGCTGCCGCTTCACAGTGCAGAAAAGTAGCCCCAAACTTAAGACCGCTCTGGCCCAGCTAACAAAGTTTAGAAGCAAGCCATGACGAGTAACAACTGTGTTCCAAAATAAAGCTCAAGAACATTTAAATGATTACACAAAAAGAATACACACCAAGACCTAACACCCAAAATGTAAACTCGCATAAAAACAGTTATTAGCATGTAAAATCATGAAAATATGGCCTCAGAAAAGGAAGAAATCAAAAACAAGCTTAAACTTAAAGGTACAACAAAAGAAACCATCCAAAATTATAAAAGAGACTAGAAAATCGTTTATCAGTGAGCAGAAGGTTAATTTTAAGCAGCTTAATATACATGTAAATTCAAGTTCTATAAAGTGGGGCAGAATATAAAAATTATTTTAAGGAATGTCAGGTTTTTCCTCATTTGACAATCTGAAAATACAAACCATGCAAGTTTTAAGTCCATACATTCAATAAGTCCAATAAACCGTAAGAAACAAAAATGCCCATGACAAAAACTATACCAATACACAATACACATTATAATTTCCACAAATTTCATGGTAAAGATAAAAATCTTAGGAGTAGCCAAAGTTAAAAAAAAACAAAAAACTAAATGATAAAAGTGAGGCAAACTTAGAACCCAACCCAGAGAGCAGTGAAACAGCTACATCTTTAAACCCAGACTTTTACGCATAGCAAAATTATTTTTATGTCAAGTTTCAGAACTACTTCTCAACACAGTGGGCCTATGCACCTTGCCAAAAGGACCCAGGTTATCTTCAAAACAAGTTAACTATTAATGGGCTCTAAATGACAAAACTTAATACACATTTCCTTTTTAAGAATGGGTTGTTTTGGGGGAAGGGAAAGCCATGATATGTAGGAACAGAAGCACCAGACACTTGTTCAAAAACCAAATGATGTCAATTTAGACCAGTGGCAGTGAGAGAGAGAAGAGTGGATTGATTAGAAAACATCTAGAAGAAATCCAAAGACTTGGTGATTGACTGGATGTGAGGTATGAATAAGGAGTTGAGTGATTCCCAAGTTTCTGAAATAATCAACTATATTTTACACTGGATTTTACCCAGGTGAAAAATAATTTAAACCAACTGTACACCAGCAAAATCATGGCTGAAGAAACTCACAAGAGCGCCCACTGGAATTTGCAGTGCAAAAGTAGGGGGTAGAAATAGAATAGCTTTATTTTGGCCAGAGAAATATTCAAAGGCATCAGCTTTCTTCATCTGAAATCTGCACTGAGCTCAATGTTGTATTTGAGACAGTTGCTATTGTTCATTACAGAAATTCTATGAGCCATCTGTTGAGACTCTGAAGTGCCTCTACAAAACAGGTCTTACTAGCGGTACATCACAATAATGAGCTTTTACCATTTAAAAAAGGTGTATTTCCCCATGTGGCATTTAGAACAGCTGCATGTGATCCACTTTGGTCAGCAACCTTGCTTCCTATGTTTCTATCTTCAGGATTAGGAATCTTATCAGTGAAATTTTTAAGGGACTTTTAAGTAGTAATAACATGTTTATTGAGGATTTACTATGTGCTAAAATACCCTAAGTATCTTACATGATAATCTCAATCTTATTAGGTAGATTTTATCCCTTTTTTAAAGAAACTGAGATGCAAAGATGTTAATTTGTCCCAGATTAGGAAGCTAAGGGGCAAGGCCAAGGATTTGAACCCAGAAAGATCTGATCTCAGTCCCTAGACTTAAAGATTGATATTTAAGCCTCACAAATCTTTCTGCATATAGAATATGTACTACCAATATACCGATTTTAAATGAATACATGCTTTACAAGTAATAACCAGGTTTCACAAAATCTGGTAATTAAAATGTTCAGGCTTTCAATTTGCCTCAAGAGATGCTTCAAAGCAGGTAACTTAATGAGTGAGAAAGCTGGAGTTTTCATTAGCATACATACAGGTGTGCATATGTAATAGGAGATGCTGATAAGAGAACCTACATCATCAACAGCCCGATGGCTTGGATAATCATAGACACTGAGGACCTGAAACTACTGAGGGTTGGATACATTAAGTTGCATGACAGATAAAACTATTAACATGGAAAGCACGTCATATGATGGACATAGATTAAGTAGACATATACTTACATTTCTCTGGGTGAATTACTGAGGTTATTATATGCATGACTTACCAGCAACTGTACTTATTAGAATTAGCTCAAAATCAAGCTAATTAAAGATTTTTTTCATAGCTGAACCAAAAATGATAGCTTAAAAAGATGTTTTTCCCTTCAGCCAAAATAAAAAAGCCTAGAAACTGAAACTCTCAAGTAAAGTTTTTTTTTATTTGGATTCAACCTAAAATAGTTTGACTCTCTTTGATAGAGAAAAGAAATCTCCAATTTCATAGACTGTAATAGAAAAGTGCTGAATTTCTGTATTTCCAGTAAAAAGATGTTTGCTTCAGGCTTTGGGCATCTAGCATATTAACCCAAAAAGCCTATTTCCAGTAAATGTAACTGTCACAGTTCTACAGTGCCCAGAATAAACTTCCTTGCAAAACTGTCCTCATATTCCTGTAACACAGGCTCCAGTCTACTCCTATGCGTACTGCTGGACTCGGGTTTTTAGCATGCACACCCTGGGGAAAGGACTCGCTCCTCTGAGAACAATGTTCATCAGCTCTGGCAGAGCTGGGAGCACCTGTGCACGTGAAGCAGCACACGGCAGGTGGGGCTCACGCCGTCTGAGGCCCTCTTGCTCCTCAGCGGTCAGCACCGGGGCCAGCCAGGGGCAGGAATCCAGGCGCACGACTCAGCTTATGACTTAATTTTCCACAGCTAAAAGAAGATCACCAAAAAATATAGTTTTAAGATAAGTAAGTAGGACTTAAAAGTACATACACTGACCATGAACCAAAAACCCTTTATATAAGAAGAAAAAAATAGAATTTCATGGAGAAAAAAAATTAAAAACTTCCAGGATCAAAAATGACACACTGCAGTTCCTGTGTTACTGGTTTCCATTCATTTTTCCTCTGTATATTTCCCTAGACCAGAGAGAACCTTATCCAGCACATGCTATTGACATGAAATTCAAACCTGACTTTTTTTGTTCACTCAAGAGTTCCATCTACTGTACTCACGTAATATGAGGCACAAAGCCTGTGCTCCACCAACCAAAATGCTGGCTTACCTCAGTTTCCCTGCCATCCACACCCATACAACATGCAAAAAACAGAGATTACTACACACAGTAATTTTTAAGTCTAAGATGCTAGAGTATAATCACACTTACTCTTATATTAAATCCTAGAAGATCACTTATAACTCCTGAGACAGCAGAAAGAATAACTACTCTTGTGATATTGTAGATTAAGGGATTCATTGTCAGTCCATAGAGTCTAAATGGTGTGTCCAGCTCCTACAAAAACATGAAAAACTGAAATGAGACATGGTTTTTCAGATTTTCAAAAGCAACTGGTAATTTCTTGCTGTTTTTTTAAGTCTTGGGTGAAGATGACTGCTTAAGGCTCTCTTACCTTAATGTTTCAGAGCTAAAACTCTGCAAAAACTCCATAGTGTAGTGTATCCTGAACTACTTTTTCATGACCTTTATTTTTCTATTTTTGCAGTATTGGGCACTGAACCCTGGGCCTCATACTGAGCTACATCCTCAGTCCTGTTTTTATCTTTTATTTAGAGACAGCGTCTTGCTAAGTTACGTAGGCTGCATTCAAACTTCACATGCTCCTGTCTCAGTCTCCCAGAGTGTTGGTATTACAGGATTGTGCCACCACATGTGGCTTATGACCAATGCTTTTTAAGGTAGATTGCAACAATAGTCATTTCTGGTTCGAAAAAAAAGTAATTTAAAAAATGTGATAGACATCAGCAGTCATCAGAATCTGGGTAACAAGATGAAATTTTTTTTCTTATCAAGTTATTAACCCAAAACCGTCATGTTGGTATTTTGAATCTATACAGCCTGGCATCTATGTGCTATATATAGGGTCTAAGAAGCAAAGCATTGATTTGACTAATTAAAAGTGAGCTTAATTCACTTTCTTTTCCATGTATGAAAACATTACATGGGGCCGCACTGGAGCCTGAGTGGTCCTTGTGGGGACTCTGGACGGGTGCACAGGCCCTGCTCGGTGAATTCCTGACAGGGTGTCTTGGCGAACACTGCCTTCCAGAGACCTGAAATGAGGCAGCTGCAGGTCTTAGAGACAGCATTGACATGGCCTTGGTGAAGCTGCAGTGCAGCTCTAGCCGGAGGTGTAGCAGTGGTGGGCACCAGTGTTGGTGGTCACTAGCATATAGCATGGGCCCAGACCACACTCACACCTCTGGGAGCAGGGAGGAGGCCACCAGCACAGAGCTGCAGCAGCAAGTCACCCTGGGGCACACTGGGAGGTATGCCCGCATGGGTCCTAGAGCAGCCTCCTGCACAGAGATGACGGCGAGGTAACCACCATGAGGGCTCCTAGTGTGTGGCAGGCTGCACAGCACCCTGGCAACACGACCAGCGTGGTCCCTGATGGTAGCACACCTGGTCTGTGGGCCAGAACATGTGTGCTTTCACACAGGCAGAAGCTCTTCCTTGAGGGATGTCTCCACAAGAAACCCAATGTTGGCTCCTTAATGGATGGGAAGAGGCCGCTCTCCTCCAGGAACTTGCTCTTCAGCCCGACCCAGTGATGGGGAGCCACCCACTGGCCTCAGCCTGGCCCCGGAGCTCAGCAACCTCAGCTCTGGCCCTGACCACTGCCTTGACCCAGAAGGCCTTGGCTCCAGAGTCTCCTCCAGAGCCTCCTGCCCCAACTGGGGCACTGTCCACGATTTGCTGTTTTCTTTTTTTTTTGGTACCGGAGATCAAACTCAGGACCTTGTGCTTGCGAGGCAGGCGTCAGAACCACTGAGCTAAATCCCCGGCCCTGCCGTTTTCTCAGAGAAGAAGCAAATTTAATTTGTAGTAAAAGTATATCCTAAGATATGACTTACTTTTAACAACTTGGTGGACAGCTTTAATACATTGTTTACTAGAGTGAGCTGTTCTTTCTTATTTGGCTTTTTTTCCATCTTAAGATATAAATTAATCTAAAGGAAAGAACAGAGAGTAAGGTTAATTTCACAGGAGAAAAAAAAGATGCATATGTATACTGCACAAAATCCAGCACATTTTAAGGGCCATTTTTCAAGTAAAACAAATTTTGAATTTCCAGCAGCTCTTTCTATAAAGACCATGTCATGTACCCTAGCCCTCACTGCCAACCAGCTGCCCTTTAGCAAAGAAAAACTAGTAAAGAAAAAAATAATTAATGAAGCAGTTTGAACACCCAAACGATGAAATTTTAAATTTTTCTTTTTTTGGTACTGGGGATCGAACTCGGGACCTTGCACTTGCCTGGCAGGCGCCAGAACCACTGAGCTGAATCCCCGGTCCAAAATTTTAAATTTTTAATTGCAATGTAATAATATTAGTAGGTAAACTCCTTGAGTTCAAAAACTATACATTATTCATCTTGGTATCCCCCAAATAATCTAATATCCTCATTAAACACTTGTGGAAAGAAAAAAGAGAGCTGCTTTTAACTTAGTAATTCCTTATTTTTTCCTCTTATAGGAAGAATCCTCCACTATAATTTTAGAGATTAAAAAAAAGACAGATTCCAAATGTATTTATTATAATCAAAATATAATCAAAATTTAAAAAGAAATCACCTTATGGACTCTGTATTTACAAGAAATATTTCTCAAGGCTGGGCATGGTGTCACACACCTACAGTCCTAGCACTCGGGAGGGTGAGGCAGAAGATCACAGAGAGTTGGAGGCCAGCCTGGATTACGCAGTAAATTCCAGACCACTACACAGTGAGACCCTGTCTCCAAAAAATTGAATAAATAAATAACATTTTTCAGTCTTAGTATCTATTCACAAAGTGGAAGTATTTCCCAAACACTGAATAATGCATTCTATAGCTGATACAGAAAGAGACAAGAAAAAACACCCAAAAAAAGAAAAAAGCTTATTATCCATATTAAATGACAATTATTCTAAAGATCTATTATTTGACGTAGAATATAAGATTAAAAGCATGTTCCACTACCACCAATAAAAACATCCTTACAGTACATGAAGTATTTTCAACTCATTAGACCTTAATTCTCACAATTTCGGGAGCAAGTAAGGAAGATGTAATACCCGTTTCATTTTTTAGTATATGTGCTGCCAAAGCGAGCACTATAATGCCCGTTTTATAAGGAGTAAACAACTATAAAATAGCACAGTGACTTGAGAGGTCGTACAGCTTAGAAAGCGATAGCTAGATAGTGATTCAACCCTGAATCCTCAGCATTGAGAAGATATTATACTAGGCCACCTTTAACCACTGAACCAAACTGACAGGACCAATCAATACCTGTTCTGTAAGTAATATTGAAACATTGCTGTATTTCTTATTGGTCTCAGATCCCAGGGAGGCCAGGCGTAGTAAGAAAAGCAGTAAAGCTGTTTCCCAGATCAAAAACTCCCAGTTATATGCATCATTCAGGAAAGTTTTATGTCCTTGGAGAACCTATCGAAGGAGCCAAGAGAAGTTCAATTTATCATATGTCTTAAAATCATAAAATTACTGCTTTATTCTACCAATTGTAGATTTTTAAGAATTCAATATTTTAATATTCAAAGCAGAAGTTTTGTTTTGTTTTTTTGGTACCGGGGATTGAACTCGGGTCCTTGAGTTTGTGCAGCAGGCGGCGAAACCAGAGCTAAATCCCCGGCCCCTTGAAGTCTTAACATTATAAATATCATTTATTTCATTATGTATTTCTCTAAGTTTCCTACTTTTTTTCCTTTTCATGAAAGACAGCCAGAGTTTTGAAGAAACAAAAGAAGAAAACATAACACAATAAGTAAAATATGATAAATGCACTTCCAGCTACTGTAATCACTGCTATCCACTCACAAGTACATGATGACCATTGTTCAAAGTACTAAATTTGCATCATTAGCTCCCAAAAACATGTGGCCCATTCCATGGTTTGACTAAAAAATCTTAAGGATCAGTTCTCTATTCCATTTTAGAATCCAAAATAACAATAGCAGCAGCAGCAGCTACCATTTACTAGCTGCCAGTAAATGTGTTTTCTGATAAAAATTTTGGCTGCTTTTAAAACTGTTGACATAAAATTAAAGCAATTGATTCTAGAAAGCCCAACCAAGGCAAGCGAAGTTATTGAGAAATACACAGAGAACTTTCACAGAAACCAAATGCCTTTTGAATAACAGGAAGTCACCAAGTAGCTGTCCTTTCTGCTCTCTTCCCTTAGCACCAGTTGGGCACCCACCTCCACTCCTCCTGACAGTTCAATCGCCTCCAAGACCGGGCTTGCTGCTTCCTCATTAACTCTGACTTAAGCCAGCTGTGGTTTGTCAGGCACCCTATGGCCTGGAGACCCCTCCTGCCTTCCTTCTCCAAAATCCATGACTGATACCTCAGGCTCTTACTAGTTCTAATTTCCAAACGAGAGACTAGGTTTAGCTCAGTTTGGGTCAGGTTCAATTTGGTCAATTAGTTATGAATAGGAGGAATAAAGTAACAATTGGTAGCAAACTGAGCCTACCTGCTCAGAAAAGTGATATAATTTGTTGGGCATAATAGATTACAAATATACAAGCAAACCAGTACAAAATGAAATACAAAGAAAAACTCTTAAAATAAGCCAGGGAAAAAGGACATATTACTTAAAAAAAAACAAAACAGCAGTAAGACTAACTGGCTTCTCAAGATCCTGTAAAATATGGAATCCTAGCAGCAGATTAGCACTAAAATAAATACTGATTAAAGAAAAATAGGAGGAAAACAATCCCAGAGAAAAACAAAAATGCAAGAAAAAAAGGCAATAAAAAGGACACATATGGGTAAATATGAATGAATAGTTGCAAAAAAGACAATAATCACATCTTTGGGGATGTGTGTGTGATAATGGACAATAAAACAAAAGATGAAGGAGTAAAGGAGATAGTGTTCTAAGATCTTCACATTATCAAGGGGGCTATAAATTAGTCACTTAATTAAACTATTCAAGTCAATCATTTTATTAGACTCCTAATCTCTGAGGTTACTACTAAGAGTAAAAGAATGTATAACAAGTTAATGATGAAGATTAAATGGAATACTAAGAAATATTTGATTGATAAAAACGCAAGGAGAAGAGAAAAAGGAAAAATTAAAAAGTAGACCAATCAGGAACAAATAGTATTTGTAGTTACAGTAATTAAGTTGAAAGGAATAAGACACTCCAAAATACCAAGACTGTAAGGCTGGTTTAAAAAACAAGGAATCAACAAAGGACATGATGATTACAAGAGACAAGCCTAAAATATAAGAAAGTAAGAGTGTAAAGATATAAAAGTCAGCTGATGTAATTAATACCAAGTAGAAACATTAGCAATACAGACATTTAATAAGATCACAAAAGATGAAAAAAATCGTCATTTACTGAGTGCTTACTAAGTTTCTTTTTCTAAAAAAAGTTTTTGTTGCTTTTTAAGTTTTCAGATTAAAAGAGACTAGAGACAAGACAACTAAATGCAACGTGTGATTCTTTTTTTTTTTTTTGCAACATGTGATTCTGAATTGGATCCCACACTCAGGGAAAACACACACACACAGACACACACACATCTACCTATAAAGGACATGAAAGTCAATCCAAGCCAGGCATGGAGGCACACATGCTACCTTGGAGGCTGATTCTCCTGCTTGAAGAATCAGAAGTTTGAGGCTAGCCCAGAGAACTTAGCAAGACTCTGTCTCAAAATAAAATAAAAAGGGCTGGGGTATATAGCTCAGTGGTATAGCCCTTGTCTAACATATGTGAGGCCCTGGATTCAATTCCCAGCACCAAAAAAAAAGTCAATCCCAAGAAGACAGATCCAAGAAGACAGACACCAATCCAAAATCTGGATGTATCACAACAGCCTCATGTACATAAAGCAAAAACTGAAATAAAAGGGAAAATAGACAAACTCACAATCACAGTACATTTGAACATACCTTTACTGATCAATAAACAGACCAAAAAATAAGTGAGGATATAGGCAGTTTCAGTAATATAACTAGTTAACTTGGATTAATGAACTAATTATATAGCAATAGGGAGAATATTGTTCTCAACAACGACAGAATACAAATTCTTCTAAAGTGCTGATGGAAGATTTAATAAAAGTAAATATGTGCTGTATAATAAAGGGAACCTAGACATAGTTCCAAGAAGTGAAGAGTAAGAGTACGTTTTCTGACCACAGGAGGACTGAGCTACACCCCATAAATGGGAAAGCACAAGAGAGGCCTGTGACTCCTTGTACTGCAGAAAAAAACAAAAGGGCTTAAGACAGGAGGATCTGTCAAACGGACATAGGAAGTGGCCTCAAGGGGCTGCCATTGGCCAAATCTAATATAGAAATGGATTATAGCCCATGGATAAAAAATAACCATACATGATCCACAGTGTAATAAATGAGAAAGGGCCACTGGAAAATCACTATTTTATGTGGTTTTTTAAAATGGAGTACTACTAAATGGTTTTTAAAATGGAGTACTACTCAGCCATAAAGAATGAGAAACTAGAGACATTTATAGCTAAATGGATGCATATTGAGGCCACACTCTTAAGTGAAATAAATAGGACACACATGTGTAAATACCGAATAGTTTCTCTGGTGTGAGAAACTGAAAGTGTAAATAAGGGTTAAAATGATTAAAACGAATAACTGATAATTTGAAATAGGAAGAAAAGGTCCAAAAGGGGAAGTGGGAGGGAAGGGGAAAGGAAAGAAGGGAAAGGAAAAATTATGCGAAAAGGAAAAAATGGAAACAAAGTCTTTGCAAATAGGGAAGGGTGGAGGGGGTGAAGGGAGGGCAGGGGAATGGGGAAAAAATAAGAATCAAGATACATCATGTACAGGTACAAGATCCCAATGATAAATGTAAGCACATTGTATACCCAAAATGTACCAATAAAAGAATTTAAGAAAAAAAAAAGGATCACTATTTTACAATATCAGGGTCTGACAGCCTTACTATCAGTCAAAAATTGCCCACTAAAATTAAATTAGGATGCTCTTAGAATTTTAAAGAATTTCAAATTTATCTATATTCCCACTTTAAGAAGTTAGAAAAATTAACAAGTATTCAAAATAGCAAAAGAAAGAGACACATTTTAAAATTCATACTTAAACACATAATTACCTGGTCTACTACAGGAAGTTAACCCTACATAGAATTTCCACTGAAACACACATGAAACTTTTACCTGGGCACAACAAATGAAAGCAATCGAGAGTGTCAATAAGAAGATCGAAGATACAACCACATCAACTGAACGCTGGGGACCGCGTCTCTGCAGAGTGAGACACATGTTAATGTTCCAGGTTACAGTCAGAGACAGCAACAGGCCTCACCTCATTAAACTCTGAATTTTACTACCATAATGTGAAAATAAATGTTCACAAGAAGTTTCTGGTGAAAGATTTTAATACATTTCAGGCACTATCGAGCTGCAGCACTGAAATCCATGCCCTTCCAAACTGAGAAGCTGACTGACTCAGTAATATATTTTCAACTAGATTATTTCTCAAAAATCAAAAGATGCGATACTTACCATTCTGCCCTAAGCAATTTGAATTTTCTCTTTCTAAGCCTTTTGTAAACTTGTCCCACCAGTTTTGTGGGTGCATCACACCCAGTGTGGTGCCCACAATCTGTTAGCCACTGATGTCATCTCCGTACCCAGAACTAACTGCCCGGTGGGCCGCCGCTGCTACAAACTGAGTATGCTCTCTACATATTCTTGCATATGTCTAGTGTTAATCAAATAAAACTCACCTTCAGGTAGGAACGCAGTGAGAGCCATATTTTAATGTTCTCCACCTTTTTAAGTCTGAAATGAGGTATTTCATATTTCTTTGCTTTTCTGGCAGAAGTAATATGACTGAAGAGTTTTGCAAATAAAAATCTCTAGAGAAGGTTAAAAAAAATCACAAAGAGAAAGGTACACATTGGTTTCTAAGTATTCTTACAACTATCAACAATATCCCCAGGATTTGTTAAAAAGAATGAAATTCCTCGAGAGCCGGGTCCGGGCCGGGGCTGTCGGGGGCTTGCGGGTCCCGGCCCCGGTCCCCATGGACAGCTGCTTCAGCTGCGAGCTCTCCAGCCACGCCCGCTCCTTCACCTTCAAGGTCTAGGAAGAGAACGACGCAGAGCACGTGCTGGCCCTGACCATGCTCTGCCTCACCGTGGGAGCCAAGGACGAGCGCAACGTGGCGGAAGTGGTGGCCCGGAACCACGACCACCAGGAGATCGCAGTCCCTGTGGCCAACCTCAAGCTGTCCTGCCAGCCCGTGCCGTTTGGATGACTTTCCACTCCAGCTGCCTGTAACTTTCCGTCTGAAATCAGGCTCTGGCCCAATGCGGATCACCGGGCGGCACCAGATTGGTGAGAGCCGGGCGGGCTCGCTGCCTTGCCTCCCAGGGACTCACTCTCCATCCTCGTCCGCCACTCCCCCGTCCAGACCTGCATGCCCTCCCCGCCGCCGTTCCCTGAGCTCGATGTCCTCTCCACTCGGCCCCACCAAGCCTCCTGCTTCCTGCAGCCTGCCCATTTCCCCAGCTCTAGACACTGCAAGCACTATGTTTCTGAGGAAGAAGAGGAAGCCGAGTTGTGCTCCATCCTTCCTGCCAGAAAGCAGGGGGCCAGGCCCTAGGCCTCCTCAGGCAGCTTCTGCTACATGTGCCACCCCTCAGTGTTCCTGGACACGTTTTAAGAACTGTAAATGTTTCTTCTCCGTTGAAGAGGAGAGTTCTGGAGCAGAGATTGGGTGGGAGGGACCTGGGCCGGTGCTAGGAGAGAAGGGGCTTTGCCATTGGACCCCGGGCTCCCCTTTCTGTAGGGTAGGAGGGACTCTGAACTTCTATCCTGACCCTCCCTCCCCCCACCTGCCTGTGAGGATTGGACGTTGGTATCTGCAGCTCTTTTTAACACTTTTTACATTTTTAGATAAAGGTGAAATAAAGTGATGTGGGTTTTTTGAAAAAAAAAAAAAAAAGGAAGGAAATTCTTATCAGTAATCACTAAGATGGACGTGAAAAAGAATTTAACATCTCATTACCCTGTTGCTTCCAAAGCACATATGCTCATCCTTCTTCACAAAACAGTACACCCTTGACATTTGTTAGGAATATCCTTTGGATACTTGTTGTGAATCCTCAACTGCACAAACTCAAATCTTCATACATGAGTCTTCCGGCTTACTTTGAAATTATCTTTCCATACAAAATCACATTTCTTATGTATATCACCAATATAAATATATTAAGGCATCAATCTAGAACTCATCAAATTTCAATAAATTTCTCACTTGACCATTTCTCTCTCTGACTGTCTCGCTCTTTCTCTGTCTCGACAGTCTCACTAACTCATTAAGTTGCCCAGGCTGGGCTCGAATTTGGGATCCTCCTGCCTCAGCCTCCAAGACTTAGTCCTTTTTTTCACAGAAATATTATCACTTTGAGGACTGCTATGTATGTTATGGATAAGAAATAATAAAGGCACACTGAGGTGCAGATGCTGAGCATTAGCTACCCAAACCACTTATTTCCATACATAGGGTTCAGCAAAACTTCAGATTACAACATGTAATTTGTAAGCAGTCAATAACACAAATATTAAACCCACAGGTAACCAAAATCAAGAGAAAAGCAACTCAATGGGACATCATACAAAAAAGGGAAATTTTACTTATTTGTTCACTAACCTGTTTATATGTTCTCTCTGCCACACACATCATAAAAAAAAACATCCACGTAAGACACAATCTTTCAAAAAAATTAATTATAGACAAAATAATAATAGATATAACAGGTGGAGCTCCACAAAAGAGAGTCAAGATCTCCTCAGCAGAAATGGACTTTAGCTGGTCAAAGCTCTTCTCCCGGAAAAGGCGATGTAAAAAAGGAAAAAATGCTAATCCAATGGTGACAACATTTCCCAGCATCTGATAACCTACTCCTTGCTGATATGCATTGACCTGGGAATTAATTTAAAATTTCCATCAGTATTGCATTAACAAAATGGAGATATGAGAAGCATTTATCAAGTGGTATTTAAAATATTAAAAACACATTTTAAATGAAGTACAAATAAAAATGACATGCAAATTTGAGCTGAGGATATAGATGAGTGGTAAAGCATGTGCTCAGCATGCACAGGGTCCTGGGTTCAATCCCCAACACCAAGGGAGGAAAAAAATACCTATAGACTTATGGTTTATCACAGATCATGCCAAACTGAGATCAGGCATACTTACACCTGAACAACTGATCGTGCTAATAGAGACCTTGTGCAGCAAATTAAAAAACAAAACAAACACTACTAAATAAAGACTGTGGCTACAAAATTTAAAATATATATCTGTATTTCAAAAACAGAATTATGAGACTAGGCATGTAGCTCAGTGGCAAGAATGCTTGCTTAGCATGCACAAGGCCCTGAATTTGATCTCTGGTCCCAGAAAAAAAAGAAAGAAAAAAGCATAGTCAATATTGTTTTAATCACTGAGTAGATTGTTATATAACTCCTGATCATAAGTAGATTCGTTTTTAAATCTGGAGCTTATTAAATCTTACCCTGCTCATGATGATACCACTTATTTCCAACACAGACATATCCATCTTTTTGCATTCACTTCCTTCCCAGATTATTGCACTAACTCGATCAGAGGCAGGACTTGAGTTCTGAAGCCAGAATAAATGGTTCTGGGGAGGAAAATATAAAGACGTTTCATCCACTCCTCCCTCCACGTGTTTTCCTTTCTGTTGTCCAGTACCCAGGCTCTATTAGACAATGTCCAGCCTCATCAGCCTATTCTCTCTCACACACAAAGCTCATCACTGCAAAACCACTTCTATGATGCTGATTTCAAGGCTTTTTCTTTTTTTTTGGTGCCGGGGAAGGTTCTTTATTCTTTACTGAGTCATTTTCCTACCTGGAGAGAGGCTAAATGACTCCTACAATGAAGAGTGGCAGGATTCCATGATGTCTAAAGTTGCTTACCTCTTTTTTTTTTTTTTTTTTGGTACTGGGGATCAAACTCGGGACCTTGCACTTGTGAGGCAGGCGGCAGAACCACTAAGCTAAATCCCTGGCCCATAATTTAAGTTGCTTTTTCTTTTTGGTACCAGGGATTGAACTTGGGTCCTTGTGCTTGGGAGGCAGGCAGCAGAACCACTGAGCTAAATCCCCAGCTCTGAAGTTGCTTACCTCTTTAAAGTCATGGAAGAAGAATAAAATCAGTGTATTCACAGTCTACTAAGGAAGAAAGTATCTCTGGAGTAATAAGATTTCACTGGGAGTACAGTAAGTCCTTGACTTACGAACACTCATATTGTGAACTTTCGGTTACCAACGACCTCACATTATGAACATTCGCAGATATGAGCAAATTGCGCAAGTAGCTCACATGCCTGTCGGACATTGTCACAGTTGTACCACTGCGTGCTTACTGTACAGTGCAGCAGTTTTCAGTAGCCCAGGACATCCGGAAGCAAGAGGGAAAGCAGCAGTGATGTGGAGGGGACTTCTAGGAAGTGGGAAGCAATGTACACTGTATATTTGTGACAAAGGTGTGTAAGACTCACTCTGATGGACTTATGAACGTTCTCCCAGGACAGAACTCATTCTTAAGTCAGGGACTTAATGTAGCAGGAAATAGTGCAAGGTGCAAGGGCCTGATAGGCCACATGAATGTCTGAGGAGCTAAGTCTTTCTCTGGTCTAACAAGGGAACAGAAAAACAGGATGCTCAGGCTCAAGAGGAGACCGTCCCCATGAAAGCAGTCCCCATCCTCCTCTGGCAGAGCATGTCCAATCCTTCAGGTACCAGCACAACTGCCATTTCCCAAACATGGTCCTCTCAACAGCCACATGCTCCACAAATTTTGCCCTTCTCTGAAATGAAAAACCCTTACAGTCTATATCGGACAAATCAGCATCTAATTATATGGTGCTTTTATTGTGTCCTCTACTTATTTCCTATATAATCATTGTTAATATGCAAGTTTCTACAAAAGGACCATATGGTGCATTTCTTCTCTTTCCACTACAATGCTCAGCATAATGCTGATGAACATTTACTGATTTTGTTCACTGTTCGCTGATTTACCTAAAAAAATATTTAAGCATCTCTATGTAACATGTGATGTGTTACTGTGTAACATGTACTGCAGATACAATGGATAACAAGATATATGTCCTTGTTATCAAGGTGCTTAGACTTCTGAAGAAGACATAATTAAATAAAATTCTTTCACAGCATGGTAAGGAAAGGAAGCATGGTTTAGGCATATACAGGATAGGTTTTCTGAAAGAAGTAAATCACTCCAGCAAAGGCCTGCCTTAAATATAAAAAGAAGTGAGCCAAGGAACAGATATTAGAGAAAAGTGTTATCTCAAAAATACTAAGGAGCTCAAGATCATGATGCCATGTGCTGTGCCAACCACTTCATATTATCTCAGCTATTTCAAAACATTCCTCAAAAGAACTATTACAGCCATGTGACAGATGGTTGAAAAAATTTTATAGATACAGGATGAATGCCTAAATTGGTTCTGAAGGCTAAAATATGTTCCAAGGCTCTCCAATTCTAGCCTATCTGATTTTATATTGATATAAAACCTAAAATTAAAAGTACTACTTGATTTATAGATTAGAGAAGCAATGTCATCTTCTAGTAATTTATATATAATACTACAATGTTTGTGGGGGTACCAATTAAACAAACCTGCTCATATAAAATAATGTTTTGTTTTGGTACCGGGGATCAAACTCAGGACCTTGTGCTTGCGAGGCAGGGGCTGGAACCACTGGAGCCAAATACCTGGCCCTCATATAAAATAAACATTAAAGATCACTCTTGTAGCTGGGTGTGGTGGACTATGCCTATAATCCCAGCTCTCTGGGAGGCTGAGGCAGGAGGATCCCAAGTTCAAGCCCTGCTTGGGCAATTCAGTGACTTAGCAAGACCCTTGCCTCAAAATAAAAAATAAAAATGAACTAAGGATGTAGCTCAGTGCCAAAGCTGAGTTCAATATCCATTACTGGAAAAAAAAAATTACTCTCATTAGTTTCAATGGGAAAAAGTATTAGGAAGAAAATTTAGGTCAGGGCAACTGCATGGAATTCTTGAGTTCTCATCCCAACATCTTCACTTACAAACTATGCTCAATTTCCCACCTCTAAATTACAAATGATATTTATTTATAGGATTACTGTAAAGTTCAATGAGATAATACAGTGCCTGACATGAGTACATAATAAATGTTAGCTATTCTGATCAATTCCTTCACAGACCTGCTGAAAAACATCTTCTTTGGGGTCACGTTTGGTCCCTGAGTGTAGGGTATTCACATGGGCCCCCTCGCTGTCGCTGGTGACAGAGGACCGGCACTCTGGGCCATGCAGCAGGTCGTCCCATAGCATATCCTCAGTCTCCGAGTCATGGCGGGTGCTTTCTGAGTCTCTTCTTGACAGGCTGAGGCTTCGAGAGCCACCACTCATGCCAGATCTAGAGCCCTTTAAAGGAAAATCTTAAGAAATTGTTTTTCATTCATCTTTAATTATATATCTGAAATAAAATTAAAACAAGTTATCTCTAGCAATGGCGAGCAAAAAATTTCACAAGTTAATCACCATGTTGTTATTTACTCACAGGTTTCATATAATACATTTGAATATTTAAATGTTAAACTCTGATGACCCTAGCAAGCACAACTTTAAAGGGACTCCCTCTAGAAGTTATCACCAAGTCATGGGATTGTTCAAGTTCAACTCAGGGTTCTGAGATGGGAGCATTTTCTGTAAGGACTCACTCAATTGGCTTGGCTGGGCCTCGGACACACAGTGTGCCCTACTTAAATACTGTGATCGTGACTATAGATCTAGTGATGACCAAGGCCCAGCATCACCATGTTAAAGGATAACTGGGGAGACAGGAGCATAGACAGTTTTTTCATGACTTCAACTGCCTTGTCAATCAAAACAAAACTAAAACCACATCATCATCTACTCTGCTTACCTCTGAATTACCATATTACAAATATGCCCCTTAGCTTTCAAGATGAGATTTTGTTACTGCTCCCACCTTTCAGAGGTCCCCTTTCAGCAATATCAACCCCACTTATGATACTTAAACTCCGGGCTAGGGGTATAGCTGAATGATACTTAAACTCCGTGCTCCAATTGAATATTAAGTAACCACATTGCCTCTTTCTGAACATCACCTGTAATACTTTTATGATTTAAATCAAACTAAAACAGAACTCATTCTTTTTCTAGGTGTAAGCCAGTCATCTAAGTTTCTAAATAAGTAGACAAATAAATGGAGATAAGGAAAGGGTAGGCCTATATAAACACTATCTTAGGGTAACCAATAAGAAAAAGGAATGGATGAAGTTGTTACACTCTACAATACACCTTGAATGCTGATCTTTCGAGAATTCTTTACCTGGCTGAAGGCTGCTGATTCAAATTCCGATTCAGCCACACTGTCTGAATCTCGTACTATATGACACCACCTTGTAGTGGTTTTCTTTACCTGCCAAAAATCAAACCAAGAAACAATAGGAAAACATGTTAAATACCTTGTTACTACTGAATGATTTAAGAATTTAACTTCTAAACTAAAACAAAAATTACCTGAGAGTTTAGATGCCTTGAAAGTATTGATTTTCTATTAACTTCACAATTATTGTCACTTGAAGCCCCTTCCACACTCCTTCGCAACAATATCATCTGTGTCCGGGCCTCACCATCTTCCTCACTGGACAGGTCATCTGAAACTCCATTGCCCAAACGCCTGTATGCCTCCTACAAAGAGAACAGCAATACCTTCACAGGGACAGCCCAAAATACCCTGTAAATTGCATATGTAAAAATTAAACGTCAAGCAAAAGCTACCAAGCAGTAAAAGTAAACTAAATCAAAACTAAACAAACCTGCATATTACTTGATCTCAATATTAAAAAAAAATTTTAAATTAAGGAAAACAAGAACTTGAAACTAAAACAGGCTAAAGTCAAACTCTAGGCCTAAATCACAACTCTATTTTTTCTTTTTTTTTTGTACAGGGGATTCAACTCAGGACCTTGCACTTGCGAGGCAGATACAGCACCACTGAGCTAAATCCCTGGCCGCAAATCTTCTATTTTCTAGCTATGTAACTTTTGGAAATTTACTAAATTTCTCTGAATTTACTAAATTTTTCCATCTGAAAAGAAATGACAATAAAAGCATCTGTCAAACAAGGTTGTGGAAAAAAAGGAAGTTTGCATGTGTAAAGCACTATACTCAATAAACATTAGTAGTAGTAATGGCTCAATGAATACTAGACTAAAAGCCATGGGCTAAAAAATAAACAGTCCAAGACTGAAAAGTAGAAGTTAGTTTTAGACTAACAGAACAACGCATTTTCACCTAAATTTAGAAAAGAGTGCCATGCCTGGCTGGCAAGTACAAGGTCCTGATTTTGATCCCCAGTACCACGAAAAAAAAAAAAAAAGAAAGAAAGAAAAATAGTTTCCCAAGCCCTAATATACTACCACTGCCTCCCTGGAATAAGACACAGTGGTCTCTACACTAATCTATTGGGAAGACTGGATCAACAGTAGAATCAATAACAAGTTCTAGTCATAGCTGAAGAATAAGCTCCAATCTCCGTGTGATATTTTCTTTTTCATAACCTGTGGTCTTATTTATTAGACAAACTTACAAACATGTTAGTATCTGTTTCGTATTTCTAGCAGAGTTCAAGAACAGGAAAATTTTACACATGAAACAAAAGGTTTTGTTACACCCATCTAAATCTTACCCTATGGCACTTTTCTCCATCTGAAAATTTTCCTTTCTCTCTTGTTTGCCACATTCTAAAATATGGTTGACACTGCCTCTTCTTAATGATAGGATGGAGACAACTTGAGTGGTTGTCAGTTTCAGTCCCTTTGTTAGATAGTAACTTTACTTTTTTAATCCTATTTTTAAAAAAGAAAGAAAAGGATTACTAATTACTTTTCTGAGAATGACTCCTTTCATGAAATCACTTTCTTCTGAGGAATGCAACATATTCTGGAAATGAAGAAAAATCAAATTATTTTCTAGGCCTCCAGCTTGCTAAGGGAGAGACTCACAGAGAATATGAATCTATTCGTGTCAGGTGAGAAGCGGCATGTATTTTTCAGTTTTGTAAGGAAACAGACTAACAGTCCTACTCACTTGTCCTCTCAAACCAGTGGCAACTCCTACTTCACATGGCCGGTTAAAGCCACGTGATAGCATGTCTGTCTCGCCTCTGTCCATCCTCCTGAATAACGGCCATGCTGCGAAGCCCAGCAACTCTCAACTCCTTCACCATTGGATACACCTCCATTGGCTAGGTGACATGGCCATATAATCATTCATAATATTCTTATTCCTGTGACTGTACCACACCTGCTACCCTCACCTTCCTAACCACACAGTAAGATCACTGAGGACAGGGACTCACAAGATCAATGAGGACAGGGACTCACCACACCCAGCACAAAGAACTCAAACACTTCAACCAAGGGTATAAACTTATCTTTGGAAAAATAAGTGAATACACTGCATCTTCAAAAAAGTAACTAACTGCAAAAGAAAATTTAAGTCACCATCATTAATATAAACAAAATAAGCATTTCTTTGAGTCATGTTAGTGCTGCCAACTGTAAAATTACAAATGAGGTAATATTTCTCCTTGATCCATTTGTCTTTCTGCCCAGGAGCCCATCAATACCAGGTTCCTGTGCTGCATCCCATCATCAAAGAGTCACTGGTGCTCACACTACCATATTTCTGATCTTTTAAAAATTTTCTCTCAAGATGTTAGATGATAAGGCTTCAAATAGTTATCCTTTCAGAGTATTTGTAGTTTTTGTAATCCTGTGGTCTGAAAGCCTTAAAATCAAACAGAATAAAACTGCAATGGTAGAGTACTAGATTTATAAGTAACATGAAAGAGGATCATTTGGAGTAAGCAAATCTTTCTAGAATCCTTAAAAATCACAACACAATAACATGTCTACACTACTTACTCCTGTGGCCCAATCATATGATATACCTTGTGAACACTAATGTGAATAGAGAATCACGTAAATATTTCAATGTAAAATTCCCACCTGTTGCCAAAGAGAGTCCCCCAAAAACCACCAATAATGGATGCAGATTCCAAAGTTTCTATTCCTCTGACTTTATCAGAGGAGTTACTACTTCCATTTTCTCGGCTCCCATCACCATTTACAGTTTTTCGTAATTTTCTACAAAAAAAAAAAATCAATAACTTCAGATTATTTAAGGCCTTTTCTGTTTTTGCCCATAATATCCCTAGAAAATTATACCAACAGATTGCTCCCTGTAATCAAGGATAGTTAACTTCATACAATAAGGATGAATAATACAAGAAAATTTCTCATTTGGGGACACAAATAGATTCAAAACTGAAGTCCTATGTCAATCACTTTGTTCAGTCACTAAAGAAATAGAATTGCTATCCAGAAACATTACTAGAAAAAACGTTCATTTGTGTGACCACAACAGACTTTTCCGACACACTCCACACCACCAGCAGGAGCCACTTAAATATAGACATTAGAAATCTACCCCTTTGGCACATTTAATCAGGACAACACAAAATAAAAGCAACTGATCATTTTTTATTGACATCCTATGCAGTTTAGTGATATATCTCACAAATATCAATGAGACACAGTGCAGCACTTATTTCCTCAGAAAATATTGAATCAATTTAACTGGATTTACAAGAAATCTTCTTTTTAGAAAAATGTTTTGAAAACTGGGGCTGGGGTATAGCTCGGTGGTAGAGCATTTGCCTAGCATGCACAAGAGCTGGGTTCAATCCCCAGCACCACAAAACGAAAAGATAGAGAACATGTTGAAATACATTCCACCAAATGGAAAAATTGTTATTTTGCTATTGGTTAGGGAAGAAAAATTAGATATTCTAAAGAAATATAACTTTTGGAAGACAGTATTGAATATATCTTTGACAATGTCAGCAGTTCCAAAAACAACAAATATCAAATAATAAAAAGTTCACATGAATTTAATATGTTAAAGACTCAAATTGATCTTGATCAAAAGTTCAGACCACTTAAAAATCAATTATGCACTTTTGGAAAAAGGTAAAATTTTGGTAGCACTAATCCAATGTACCAAGATACTTGTGGACAGTGAATTTTCAACAAAGTTTGATTAAGCCTGAATTTCAAAGAAAAAATTTTTTCTTTTGGCAGTGCTATGAATAGAAACCAGGGCCGCACACATGCTAGACAAGTTTACAACTGACCTATACCTCCGGCCCAAGAATGGATTTTAAAGGCAGTATTTAAAATAAATTTTAAATAATAATATAGTATAGGAATTCTCCTTTTAAGAAACGGCAATGAATGACAAAATCTCACCTGAGATTAGAAGTTAATAAGGCTTTTTAGTATGAAGAAAAAAAGCATTTGAGGTAAAAAAAATAATGAACAATATACATGGAAGAGGAAGATTTTTAATTAATCGAAGATTTTATAAATCTCTTTAAGTAACACTTCCAGAAAATACAAAAACTAAGATATAATTTCTCATCTCACCTCCTTCTCCGATTGCCATTGTTTCCTAAAGGCCTTGCTATCTGCGTAGACACAATCTGACAGTGGACAGTTCCCATGAGTAGCATAAGGCACAAGGGTCCAAGTACTTCACTTACATTCACAAGAGGCATCATAAGATATAATACAATCGCTATAACTGGATAGAAGAGGTTTCAAAATATAAAGCATTAGAATTCATCTGTAAAATTAATTCTAGTAACTATATAAATTGTTTCTACAATCTGTCATTTTAAAAAGAACTTAACATAAATCATTTCCTAGAGTACCATCCACTTTCATGTTAGCTGAGTGAAAATCTGAAGCCACAGACTGCCAAGTAAGTGAAGGATAACATGTTGAAAGTACTTGCCTTTCTGGTAGCCTGATAATCTAAGTATTACTAAAGGGTTCTCATCCTAAAACTACTGTAGATGCTACATTAAAACACATTGTGAAGTGCCGTTCCTGTCAGAGGAAGGGTATTTTCTAAACCTCAGTGTGCACCGAAAGCAACCAGCAAAGCTGAGATTTGAACTGAGGCATCCAGACTCCAGCATTCTCATCTTAACTACCATGCCATGTTGCTGCTTTGCATATGTTTATGAAATGTTCAAATAAACAAATGATGCAAGATATGACAACTATCAGGAACTATCTCCAAGATTTTCAATTTGTAATTGTATAGGTATGTTCTTTCAGACTTTAACACAGTGGTAATTCTTGAGCTGTATAAACTATTACAGAATAGAGAAAAAGAAATCTAGCACTTACCCAACATACCGAGATCCTTGTTGGTAATGAATTTTCAACAAATTTTGATAAAGGCTGAACTTCAAAGAGAAGGCTTTTTTTCCTTTCTTTTTACCTTTCTGGGGAGCAAACCCAGGACTGCAACATAACCATAAAACCCCAAGAAATGGCAGCACCAAAATAAATTACAAACTTTGTTGACTTGTGAATGTGGATATAAATTCATCAATAAAAAATTTAATGCACTATGAAGGCAGGGATTTTTGTCTATTTTCTTCACTGATAACCCTGGATCAGCACTCGACACATAGTAAGCACTCAGTGTTTGTTGAATGAGTGGTTGAAATTCAGCCTTTACAACATGAGTTGAGCAATATAGCAAAAGAACTCACCAAGACCATGAAGGGTTTATACTAGCAACGCAAAAATAGTTTAAAGTAGAAAATCTGTCTGTTATGACTTGTGTTTAGATGTGCCCCCAAAGCCTCATCCTTTTTCAGAGATGGCTGGATCTAGAGCGTGTGATGCTGGGACCGATCCATGGTGCAATGCTATGCTCAAGAGCACCAGGATTAAGGGTGTGAGTGTTACCACCCTAAGTAGCCTACATGGAGTATAAATGGAGCAGAAAGAAGCTGTTAAAGCCTCTCGTTGCTTTTTCTGTCTTCCACTGCCATGAACTGTTGCCCCTCTGCCACCCTGCCTTGGAGCCAGCCGATTATGGATGGAAACCTCTACAAACTGTAAGCTAAATTAACCTTTCCTCCTTTAACTCTGGGTGTTGGGTATTTTGTTTCAGCAATGAGAAAAGTAACTAAGACACTATCCAAACCCTTGCAGAAGGTGACTGGGCTCTGTGCACATGAATGAGATCAGTGCCCTTATAAAAGACTGTCCCTTAGGTCAGGCGAGGACATAGTAAGAAGACTGCCATCTAGACAAGCAGACCCTCAGCAGATACTAACTGTGCTAGTGTCTTGATTTTGAACTTTCCAGTCTCCAAAAGTGTGAGAAATAAATTGATTATTTATTAGTCACCATGTCCATGGTATTTTTGTTGTAACTTCTCAAATGGACTAAGACAGAGACTGGTACAGAAAAATGAAGGGAGTCGCTGTAACAAATACCTAAAAGTGTGGAAGCAGCTACAGAACTATCCACTAAGTGGACAGTCTAACAGAAGAGTTTTGAGGAGTGGATCAGAAAGCCTACATCTCCAGAACAAATTTCTAAAGGAGATGCTTAGGGTTCAGAGGGAGAAAGAAATAAGTTATAAAGAAAACTTCATGTCTATAATCCCATTTCCTTAGAAGGAGCATAAGTTCAAGGCCAACCTTGGCAATTTAGCAAGAATCTGTCTCAAAAAATAAAAAGGGATGGAGATACATCTCAACCCAAGGCTCTGAGTTTACCATCAAAATATTTTAAAAGCCAGGTATGGTGGGACACATCTGTAATCCCAAATACTTATGAGGTCTGGGCAGCAGGATAGCAAGTTTGAGCCCAGTCTGTGTAGCTGAGCAACTGAGTCTCAAAGTGAAAAGTAAAAAGAGCTGGGGCGGTATTATGGTAGCTCAGTGCGGAGGTCCGAGTTTCAGTTCCCACCACCACCAAAACCAATGAAGGAGGGTGGCAGAGAAGCAGAGAGAGAGGAAGAGGAGGAGGGAAATGAGGAGGAAGATGGAGAGGAGGAAGGAGAGAAGAGGAAAACACATCAGGTAGTGATGTGCAAAACTGACAATAAAACTGCCTTGGGTGACAGTGAGTGGGGCAGCAGGACTATGGGGAAAGTACAGATAGGGATGGCTTCTCTATGAAAGCGACACTGGAGCCGAGGTCTTAAATTTGGGGGGAAATGAGCCACTTGAAAATCCCTATGAATGTTTCAAAAAGAAAGAAGAACTCTGTATGAAAACCTAAAGAAAGGCATTATACCTAGAGTGAGCATGGAGGAACAGGGCTAAGAAGCGGAAAGCTGATGTCTGAGAGGAGATAAGGAACAGATTACATAGGGCGATATAAGCCATAGCAAGGACTTCAGATGTTTATTCTAAAGTCAAGTGAAATGAAAAGCTTATAGGGAGAAAAATCACAGGATAAAATTCCCAGTTTAAAGAGTTTCTCTAATTGTTGTGAGAAGAACAGTGGGCAGAAAGAAAGCTGAGTAGACATTACTTCAGTGGCCTGGGCCAGAGATAAACGTTCTGGGACTGCGTTATTGGTAGCAGAGACTGAGGTGAAGACTCAAGATAGGCTCCGGAGGCAGAACATAAAGAAAGGATGGCAGACTGGATGTGAGAACTATGGTAGGATAGAGTAGGAAGACTTATTTTCACTTGAAAATGGGTGATGGATGAAATCAGTTAATGAAATGGAAAAGATCTAAGAGGAATGAGTTTGTACAAAAAAATCAAGATATGATTAAGATGACTTTGATATGACTAAGTTCAAGATGCCTACAAAGTCTCCATATGGGAATGTCAAGCAAACGGTTAGATTTACAAGTCCAAAATGCAGAAGAGAAATCTGGCCTGAAGATATAAAATCTGGGAATTGCCAACATGTCGATTTATGCTTTTTTAAAAGGAGCTTGCTAAGAGCACTTAAAGAACAGACAAGAATACAGGATCCAATCTTGAGGTAATTCAACACACAAAGGTTAGACAGAAGAAAAGTCTGACTAAGCTAGCCAGGGAGAGGGATGGAAAGACGTTTCAGAGAAGAGTTAGATGATCATGCTTGCTCTCTTAGAACAGTAAGTCCAAATAGTTTACTTCCCTTTGTTTCTTTGTACTTTAAACCATTTTAAATGGAAGGGTAAATGTAAGAGTAAGTCTTTATTATCTGAAAACAAAAGCAGCAAAATGAAACTGTCAACTCTTCCAATTACCTTGCATGAGGTAAAGCAGTAGCAGCCAAACAAAGATTCTTAAAGAGGTAACCTGAATCCACCAATTGCTGAACAATGGAAAAAACACAACTCGAACAAGCCCCTTCCGAGTCAGAGATGTCCATGGAATTTCAGGTTTGGCTTTGGCAAATGTTGAGCCTTTAAATACAAGAAAACAAAATAAGACACCTGTACACACACTATATTGATGGCCACTTGCAGTACTAACTTCAAAACAGGTGAGAGCAAAAATAAGCATATGACTTGTGCAGTTAAAAAGAACCCTCTAGAATGAGCATTAAATATAATAACTTCTTGGCCAGGGATTTAGCTCAGTGGTTCCATCGCCTGCCTCGCAAGCATAAGGACCCGAGTTTGATACCTGGTACCAAAATAAATAAATAAATAAATAAAATAACTTCTTGTCTCAGTCCCTAGGAAAGGAGTGCAAAATAATCAGGCTCACAATATATTTTTCTAAATTATACAAGTCTGCAAGTTCACCCCCCTTTCTCATTACATGAAAACCATGTAATTTACATGACCACCGATATATTAAGGCAAAGAAAAAAGGTCTCAAAGCCTGAAAAATGAAGGAAGAATTTTACTAAGTACATCATCACATAGAGAAGGATACCTAAAAGTAATCTGCAGTACCACTATGAAATAATACAACAATATGCATAAGAAACAAACCAGTGTTAGGACTCACCTCTGATTAAGTCAACATCAATCAAGTCTGGTTTTATGCGACCCATCTTTTTTGGTTTATTTTTGAACCCCTACAATAAAACAAAACAAAATAGAAATAAACACATAAGAAAGACAGTATTTTTAAATACAAAAAATAAACTTACGTTTCGTGTCTGACTTCCTTTTACTGGAGATATTTTCATCCTAACGCTCCTTAAAAGACTTGTTATTAATTTACGTTGTTTCAGTTTTTAGTCTTATCAAATAATACATGCATATGCTTTATCTTTTTTAATAATCAAACAATGCCAAAGGATCAATAAATTAAAAATAGTCCTCTGAGCCATGTCCCCTCCTCTCAATTTTGTTCCTCAGAAACAAGTAACTTTCATCTTGTTTTTCTATACTTCTAAATAATATGCTAACACTGTTATTTCTTAATTTAGATTCATCACTATCAATTCTTCTACTGATTTCTTCATATAGTAAATGAGAATATAGCTTTTAGACCACTAATATCCATAACCTAACTTCTACACCCAAAACATATATCCTCACAATATACATACACACTTGTGTATTTTTAAAAATGCAGTACCTTCACACTGAATTACATTCCTAACTCCCTTTTCATTTTTTATTTTGAGACAGAGTCTTGTTAAGTCATTAAATTGCCCAGGCTGTGCATGAACTTGGTCATGCAGATGCCTCAGGTTGAGATTATAGCATTATCACACATGCCTTAATTTTTTGATAAATGAATAATCAGTACAGTATTTTCACTGTGAAAAATGTTCCCTGCAAGCAAGAATATTTTATAGTCTTTCATTTACTCTATGAGATCAGTCAAAATATTTGTCATTATGTAAATTTAAATAAATGCTAGAAAATTATCTGAATTTGAATAAATACTAGAACTTATTTTAAAGTTCCTGGAAACCCCCTTTCCGGAGCCCTCTATCTTCCCATACCAGATAGACTGTTCTCTGGGTCTACTGCACAGCTGTAATCCCAGGACTTCTCTTTACTGTCATCCTTCACATTCACGACAGGGCTGTAATTCGTATGTCTCGCTGCCAAGCAGCTTGAACCACTGGTGGTACATGCATGACTGCTCCATTGGGTGACTTTTTATTAATTTTATTAGTAAAAAGACTGGTAAAAGTGATTAGATCCATTTGTACCACTGGTGGTATAAGCCGCCCAATGGGATAGTCATACATGTATCACTGTTAGTTCAAGCCAACAGCAACATGTTAATGTCTCCTCTCCCATTCTCTTGGTCCTCGTGGGCTGTTATCTTTTTTCTTACTTGTTGTAATTTTAGAGTAATTTCAGGAAGAGAATAAATGGAGATTAATGCATCCACTCAAAATGTCACCTTTAATGAGGAGGCTCATTGATCATATACCCACCAACCACATAAGAAATACAGCTGAAGTAGCTTCTGAGGTTGACCAGCCTTTTTTTTTTTTTTGGTACCAGGGATTGAACTCAGGACCTTGCACTTGTGAGGCAGGGGGCAGCACCACTAAGCTAAATCCCCAGCCCTAGACCAGCCTTTTTTATTTCCTAGGGCTAAAACTATGTCATTTATGAACAGTGGCTTTTGTTTTTCCTAATATTAATTTTTAAAAATCAAAGAATATTTAAAAAAATATGAGGATGTTCTGCTCATCTTAGCAAATGTATTGCAAACAGCATGTTAAACGCCAGTAACAGAGAATATTCTTGTTTTAATTTTATTTTGGAGGACTCAGTTTGACCATCACTAAAAATGTTAGATCTAATATATTCTCTCAAGAAATTTTAGAAGACAATTTTCGTTGTGAATATGTATAAAAATTCTGGGGTATATTATTTTTCCTACTTTTCCCTACTATTGGTGTGATTTTTAAAATAGTTTTCTTGAGGTATCATTAATATACTAGTAATGGATGCATTCATTTTTAAGAATGCAGTTTTAGCAAATTAATTCAGATTGTTAGTAAATACGTAGTATACAATCCTTCTTACTCAGGTTTTAGGGTATATCAACCCAAAAAGTTCTTTTGTGCCTGCCTATTAGTCCATTTCTCATTACCATTATAAAGTAACTGGCTGGGTAGCTTTATAAAGAAAAGAGGCTTATTTTGGCTCACAGTTCTAGAGATGTAAGGTCTAGAGGTGACATCTGGTGATAACCTTCTAGCTGGCAGCTCTGAGGTGACATAGAGCATTGCATGGCAAGAGAGAAGAAGCATGTGTAGGTGTGTCTTCTCATGTCCCTTCCTGTCCTTATAAAGACACCAGGATTCAATCATGGTGATTCTACCCTTATGAATTTATCTACTCTGAATAACCTCCCCAACACCCTCCCTTTAACTACCACAACCAGATTACACTTCCACCCTCCAAACACCTCATAATGGGGATTAAACTTCAGCACACGAATGAAACCTTAAAGGATACTCAAACCATACCAAAACCATAGCAGCTTGTTTGCAGTAAATCTATTCCTACTTGCTACAATAGGCAATCACTGCTCTTTTTATTTTGTATCTGTACAGATGGCTACAAATTTCATATAAACAGAATCACACAATATGTTTGTGCCTGATTTCTTTCATTTGGAATATTTCTGAGGCTCATCCATGTTTTTAGTATAAATTAATTATTGCACAGATATAGCACATTTGTTTATCCATTCACCAATTGGATTTTTTCCAGATTTGGGGCTATTGAGAATACTGCTGCTGTAAGTATTTGTATGTGTTTGTTTTTACTTCTCTTAAGTACCTAGGAGTGGAAATGCTGGTCCATATGGGAAGTATATATTTAATTTTTTTAAAAAACTCACTTTGTATTCTCCACTCCAAACAGCAATATATAAATTCTAGTTTTTCTGTGCCTATGCTAACACTTGGTAGAGTCAATCGTACACTTGGTACAGTCAATCGTTTTAATTTTAGCCATTCTACTAGGAGTAAGTATCTTCTAGTGATTTTAATTTGTACCTCTCTAACAACTACGAGCATTAAGCATCTTTTCATGAGCCCACTAGCTATTCATTTACTTTCCTTGGTAAAATGTCTCTTTTAAGTCTTTTGCCATTTTTAAATTGGGTCTTCAAACTCTTTACATATTCCAAATACATGTTTGTGTGTGCCTGTGTGTATGATTTGAAAATATTTTCTAACATCTTATTTCTAAGATACGGCAATTTTCAGTATTTTCTTCTACAAAATCTATAGTTTTAGTTCTTGCGCATATTATTTATGATCCATTTTAAATTTTTGTGAAAGGTATAAGGTTAAGTTCATTTTCATATATGTGGATATTCAATTGTTCCTACACTACTTATTGAAAAGACCACCATTTCTTCATTAAGTTGCTTTGGCATCTTTATTAAAAATCAATCTATCAGCTGGGCATGGTGGCACAAGCCTGTAATTCCAGCACTGTGGTAAGCTGAGGCAGGAGGATCATAAGTTCCAGCCCAGCCTGAGCTACTTAGTGACTTAGTGAGATCTTGTCTCAAAATAAAAAAATTTTAAAAAGAGAATGGAGTTCAGTGTAAAGGCTCCGGGTTCAATGCCCAGTGCCACCCTCCCAGCCAAACTGAGTATCAAAATAGGATTTCTTTCTAGATTTTCTATCCTGTTCCATCGATCTCATACTCATGCCAGTACCTTCTATTTTTATTACTATAGCTTTATAATAAATTTTCAGATGTGATAAGTCTTCCAACTCTGTTTTTTTTTTCCATTAAGTTTACTGGTACATTTTAGGTATAAAATACAGTTACATTCATCATTGGGATCTTGTACCATTACATGAGTATCTTGGTTCTTATTTTTTCCCCAT